TGATAAGTGGACTGAAGATGATATCCTTTGTAGTTATTTCCAATTTTGGTACATAAGAACAACATGAACTATTTAACACTTTTGGAGAACTCTGATCAAAAAATGAGAATGTCAGTGCAAAGGAACTGGTTGATTATTACAGAAATTTGTCTCTGGCTCATCTATTTCCATTTAATTATGAAAAATCAACTTTCAGAAGTTCAGTGGATAGTGGGATTTACACAATATTCCTCCATAAAAGTAACAAACACTGGAAAAATTTGTCAAAATCAACATATTCATAACTCTGGAGATTAACCAAAGGCTGCAAGAATCTAAAGAGGGTTTATTCAAGAAAAACTGAAAAACATTATTAAGAACAGCAGAGGTTGTGTTATTTTTAATTTGACTTAGTCTCATTCCCTTCTCCCCAGGTCCACAGTAGCCTTAAAAACCAAGATTCACAACCATGATGGCAGTTGTGAAGAGGCTGTGAATGAGACATCCACAGTGGACCTTGAAAAGCTCTGACATATTCCCAGGATCTACAAAGCTGTAAATATGTAGAGCCGGTAGGGTTGTGCTCATGACCAAGAAAGACCTGAGGGAGCCCTACACTCTCACTTCTGGCTGATCTTGAAGCTGTATGTAAGCAGGAAGTGAAGGCTAAGGCAGAGCTATGAAAATATTGGGACATAGTTGGTATACCCTAACACACACTTTGAAAAGAATGGAAGATTTATTAGTTAAAAGTCTCTAAGGAGTCTCTAGGGGAATCTCTAACCAATCATTATCCAACCACTAAGCTAACTGAGCAAAGACTTCAGTGACTGTACACTACAATGAATGCAAATTTTACAGAATTAGTCTAGGAAATCACTTACTTACTGAAGCGAGTAAGCAGCATCAGTAACAACAAAGCAATAAGCAAGTGTGGGTTAGAATGGGGGTAATCTGATTTTTAGAGTTGCCACATTATATTATTTAAAATGTTCAGGGGCTTCCCTGGTGGTCCAGTGGTTAAGAATCTACCTGCCAATGCAGGGGACACAAGTAAGATCCCTGCTCTAGGAAGGTCCCACATGTCATGGAGCAGCTAAGTCTGTTGCTCTGAGCTCGTGCTCTAGAACCTGCAAACTGCAGTTACTGAACTTGCCTTCTGCAACTATTGGCTTCTGTGAGATTGGAGTCAATTCTCTGTTACAAGAGAAGCCACCGCAATGAGAAGCCCGTCAGCCACAATGAAGACTGGCCCCTGCTCAGCACAACTAGAGGAAGCCTGTGGACAGCAACGAAAACCCACCATGATCATAAAATAAATTTTAAAAATAAAATAAAATGTTCAGTTTTCAACAAGTTATAAGGCATGCAAAGAAAGACAAAAGTTTGGTCTATATTGGACGGTGGGGAGCAGGGGAAAACAATCCATAGAATGTGCATCTGAGGAGACCCAGATATTTGACTCACTGGACAAAGACTTTATATGAACCATTATAATTATGTTCAAAGAACTAAAAGAAATCACGTCTAAAGAATTAAAGAAATGTTTGACAACAATGTCTCACAAAGCAGAAATATCAGCAAAGAGAAATTACATTAAAAAGTACCAAATAGAAATTCTTGTTTTGAAAACTAAATAACAGAAATGAAAAATGTCCTAAAGAGACTCAACAGCAAAGATAAACTGGAAAAAAAAGATCAGAGAACTTGAAGACAGGTCCATTGAGATTATCCTGTCTAATGAATAGAAATAAAAAGAATGAGCAAAAATGACAGAGCCTCAGAAACCTGTAGGATATCACTGAGCATACCAATATATGTATAATGGTAGTCCCAAAAGGGGATGAAAAAGAAGGAGAAATAGATGGAATATCTGAAGAAATATAGTCAAAAATTTCTCAAACTTGATGAAAAGAATAGCCTTTAAGAAGCTCAAAACCCCAAGATAAGCACAAAGATATTTGTACCTACACACATCATGATCAAACGGCCAAAAGTAGAAGAGAAGCTTAAAAGCAGCAATTCCTTCTATGAGGTCAGTATTAAACTGATACTAAGGTTACACAAAGACATCAGAAGAAAACTATAAGCCAATATCTGTTATGAATATAGATGCCAAAATCCTCAACAACTAGCAAACTGAATCCATGAACATATTGAAAAGGATTATACATTATGACTAAGTAAAATTTATCTCAGGATGCAAAGTTTGTTTGACAACTGAAAAATTAGTTTTATCAATAGAATAAAGAACAAAAGCCTCATGATCATCAAAATAGATGAAGGACAAGCATTTGAGAAAAATCCAGCAGGTTTTCATGATAAAATATTGGACACACTGGAAATAGAAGCAAACTTCCTTAACCTGATAAAGGCCATCCATGAAAAGTGCAGAATTACCGTCATATTTAATGTATATGTTCTGAATGTTTTCTTCTAAGATCAGGAGCAAGAGAAGAATATTGTTCTTACCACATGTAGTTAATATTGTAGTAGAGGTTCTAGCCAGGATAATTAGGCCAGAAAAAGAAATAAAGTCCATCTAAATTGGAAAAAAGTAAACCTATTTATGTTGATAGAAAGTATAATCTTGAATATATAAAATCCTAAATAATCCACAAAAATAGCATTTCGTTGGGGTTGCAAGATATAATATCAATGTTAAAAAAGTCAATTGTATTTTTCTTCAGTATCAATGAACATTCTGAAAATGAAATATGAAGTTGAGAAAATAATTCCACTATACAATAGCATTAAAAGTAAAATCCTTAGTAATAAATTCAACAATAGAATTTACAACCAAAATATGCAAATTTATTAAAATAAATTAAAAGATCTAAATAACTAAAAAGACACACATGTTCATGGATCAGAAAACTTAATATTGTTAAAATAGGAATACTCCCCCAAACTGATCTACTGATTCAGTACAGTTCTTATCGAATACCAACTGACTTTGTTTTAAAAGAAATTGACAGACTTAAAATTTCATGGAAATGTAAGGGACCTGAAATAGCCAAAAACAATATTGAGAAGACAAAGGTTGAGAGATTCTAGAACTTAGCATTGTTGTTGTTTTAGTTACCAAGTCTTGTCTGACTCTTTTGCAACCCCATGGACTGCAGCCTGCCAGCTCCTCTGTCCATGGGGTTTCCCAGGCAAGAATACTGGAGTGGGTTGCCATTTCCTTCTCCACAGGATCTTCCTGACCCAGGGATTGAACCTGAGTCTCCTGCTGTGGCAAGCGGTTTCTTTATCACTGAGCCACCAGGGAAGCCTGGTGTAGTAATCTGTAGTAATCAAGACGTAACAAAGGACAATAGATTAATGGAATAGAATTGAAGGTCCAAAAATAATCTCATATATTTATAGTCAATTGATTTTCTACAAATGTTCCAAGATAACCCAATGGGGGAAATAATAGTCTTTCAACAAGTGGTACTGACACAACTGGATATCTTTGTAGAAGATTGGAGATAGATCCCTATCTCACACCATACACAGAACATAAATCAAAAAGGGACCATATACTAAACATCTAAAGTAATAGCTAAAACTATAAAACTTTTACAAGGAAACAAAGTTAATCTAATGAGTTTGGGTTCGGTAAGAATTTCTTAGATATTACAACAATATAAAAAAATGTACTTAAATTTTTAAAACGTTTGTGCTGTGAATGATAATACAAAAAAATTGAAAAGACTACTCACAGGTGGGAGAAAATATTTGTAAATCTAGGTACAAGGGACTTGTACTCAGAATATATAAAGAATTCATAGCTCAACAATGATAAATAATCCAATTTAAAAATAGGCAGAGGATTTGAATGGATATTTTCCAAAGAAGATACAAAAATGATCAATACACACAGGAAAAGATGCTTGATATCACTAGTCATTGGGGAAATTAAATTGAATCACAGTAAGATACCACATACCATTAGCATGACTAAAATAAAAAAGACATAATAGCAAGTGACAGCGAGGATGTACTGTAAGTGGAACTGTCTAAATAACTGGTATAAATGTTAAGTGGTACAACTAATGTTAAGTGATACAACTAATTTAGAAAACAATTTGGCAGTTCTTAAAAAAGCTAAGCATAGAGTTTTACCATTTGAGTTAAGCATAGAGTTAGCATTTCTACTCCACTTATCACCCAAGACAAGTGAAATATATACTCACACAAAAATGGATCTTCCCAACCCAGGAATCGAACCGGGGTCTCCTGCATTGCAAGTGGATTCTTTACCAACTGAGCGATCAGGGAAACCTTTGTGAAAATTTCTATTCACACAAAAATGTGTATGTGAATGTTCATAGCAAGATTATTCATAAGAGCCAAAAAGTGAGCAGGAAACAACCCAAATGTCTAAATGATGAATGGGTAAACACAACTGGGTATATGTACATAAGGAAAGAAGTAGATAGACACAAAAGGTCGCATATAATATGATTCCATTTGTGTGAAAAGTCCATAGCATGTATCAGAAAGTGTATTAGTGATTCCTTAGGACCAGATAGAAAGGGAGTGTTGGGGCAAATAAGAAATGACTGCTAATGGGTACTGGGTTCCTTTTTAGGGTAATGAAAGTTTCTAAAATGAGATAGTGATGATGGTTGCACAATTCAGTGAATACTAAAAGCCACTAAACTGTGCACTTTAAATAGATGAATTCATGATATGTAAATTGTCTTAATAAAGCTTTTTATACATATGTTTCATATATATACATATATATGACACAGTATATTTACTGAGAAATATATATACATATATTTTGGGAAAATACCAGGTACAAGGAGCTTCTTAGCTTGAGTTTCAATTCAACATCAATCTTACCTGAAACCTTAGGGCAATCACTTTTTCTCTCTTGGACTCAGTTTTCTCATCTGAAAAATGGGCTACTAGTAACACCCATTCTTCAGGTCATACAGAGTTGCTATGAGGCTTGAATGAGATCATTAGGATGGAAGCAATGGTCTACTGGGTAGAGTTGGACACCACATAATGTATTTAGGTGTATCAGACTGTAGTGTGTTGAGGTCAAGAACATGAAATCTAGGGCCAGGCCGCCTATGTTTATTGACTCACAATGACAAAGAGCAAATAACTTTACCTTTCAGAGTGTGGTCTCCTGTAAAACAGAATCACAGTAGAGCTGCTGTCACAAGCTTGTTACAACAATGAAATGAGTTAATAAAACATACAAAACTTACAGTGAAATTCAGTGGACTATGGGATGGATATGGATTCTGAGAATGCACTGCTCAATCTCTGATTGTTAGAAGAAAGAAGAAGGAGGGAGAGGAGAAGGTAAGAAGATATTGGAAGGACTGAGACAGAAAGCTATTGCATCAAATTGACATCATTTGAAATTATGAAACAAATTGTGATGGTGAGGAGTGACTTCAGTAAATTAATGTCATTCATTAATCAGCTATAGACATTTCTAGCAAAGAGAAGGAAAGTATTTCTTTGTCCATATCCTAGATTATTCCATGTTACCACATTGTTAAAAACAATGGAAAGAAGTATAAAAACCTAGTCAAATAGCTTTGTTCTCATGTGACTTTGCAAATGTCATTCCTGAGAAAATCTGGAGCTTACAAAGAAACCATTCACTCATTTGAAACTACTCATTGAGCACCTAGGTGGGATGCTGAGGAATAAGATGACTTTAACTTGTGGGCCTAAGGCAGATGTCCAAAATAAAGGTTCTTGACTCTCCTCCTAGAAGAACAAACTCATGAAAACCAATTTAATGTTTCCTATGTTGTCTGGAATATAATGGAATGAATGAACGCATTTTTCATCATTGCTGGGAAATTTACAATTTTGTATTGAACAGGCCCTTTGAGAACTCTGTTTCTGCACATTTCAAATTTTGAGCTGTGTTTGGTAAACGGGTCTTCAACAAAACAGCCTTTGCGAAGGAAGGCTAAAGCAGTCTCAGCCTCCACTTTGGAAGAGTGGAAGGTCCATTAGCAGATACACCCATCACGGCAAGGACACCAAAACCAACCTGAGGGTCACAGACAGTCACGGAGAATTAGAAAGGAGAACAAACTAGAAGAGGGAACTAGGGAGAGACCCAAGGAGATGGCAGTGCGGCTGGGGAGAGGCATTCCTGGCAAGCATGAGATGCATGCGGGCCCAAGATGTGGGGGGTAATTCTGTTTGCCTGAAATGCAAGGAACGTGTGAGGGAGGGATGAGAGGAAAGACTGAAAGATAACACAGTATTTAGCCATTCCCCCAAGCTCAGGTTGCAGTCTAAGAAGTTTGGAATTCATTTTTCAATTTATGGGAGGATAGTTTTTAAAGTCTTAAACAGAAAAATATTATGATTGGAGGTATGCTTTAGAAAAAGTTGTTCCCTTTAAGGAACTTTCATTTGGAAATGTTATTCTCAAACGAAGTGCCAGACACATTGTTGCTTCTGAAAAACTATTCAGTTTTGTCTTTATAGAGAAGGGAATCATCTAATTGTTTTCTTTTTCTATTTGGCTCCCAGGACACAAAGTGCAAACTGCCATTTGATTTTTACTAGGTTAAACGCATGGCCTGTATTTCTGCAACGGATTTCTCCTAGATCTTGATCTTCCATTCTCATGTCTGTTTGCCATGATTCTGACTTTTATCCTTTACATTTTCTCTTTTATGTTATGGATTCAGGAAACATACTGCAAATCCTCTGGTTAAAATGAGGTAGAGATGTCTCATTTTACATCTGCATCTACCAGTACATACATCGGCATGTAGTTTGTGGGAAGGATTGGATAAGCATGCATTTGAATCCAGTACACCAGTGACGCTATAGCAATGTGTGATGAGGTCAGAGTTGGAATCACAGCAACAAAAGTGGATGATGTACAGTGTGAGTCCTTAGAAATGTCAGTGTTAGTGAGAGTTAGTGAAATGTCCATGTTAGTGAGAGTCTTAGACGTGTGGTGTGGGCAGACCAAAAAGTCAAAGCTGATCGATGTCATGAATCAAAGACCAAGTGACTAGATTTCTTTGAGAATGGTGGCAGCCTTAATATAAGCAAAAAATATAGGAGGAAGAAAAGTTTTTTATGTGAGGGTGATGAGGAAGATTCTAGAAATGTTGACTCAGTTGGACACACCCAGTGGGCAGATAGAAGTGGTGGTGGGGGGCGGGGCCAGTCATAAGGGGGTCTGAGCTTGTGGCGTGGCTTGGGAAATCGCTTGCATAGAGGTGGGAGTTGAGGGAATGCAAGGCAGTGAAATTTCTGAAGAGGAGTGAATAATGAGTCAAAAGCAAAAAGCTAAAATTGGAGTCTTGGTCAATATTTACTCTACAGGATGAGAAAACTGAGAAGAATCAGAATAGTAGACCCATAAGAGAACCAAAATGAACCTGTGACAAGACAGGCAAGAGTGGAGACAGTAACAAGGAGGAATCTGTGATCAGGAAGTAAAAACCACTGGATTTCATGAGCGAATCACTGATAACTTTTAAGAAAACTATTTCAGGTGAGTGATGAGGTAGGTAGAAGTCAGCTTCCAGGATTTAAGAAGTGACTGGATGTTGAGAAAGTAAAGTGTGTAGGTATAGACCAGTAGCTCTCAAATACAACCAGCAGGCTTGATTGAGTATGTAAGACACATGGGTAGTTAAGTGACAAGGGTACTGAATCTTACAGCACAAAAGCCACAGTGAGACAACCAGAATTCTGGATCTGCAATGGGAACATGTTTTGTGTGTGCACATGTGAGTGCACATGTGGGAGTATTTTGTGTGTGCATGCTTGCACGTGTGTGTCTGGTGGAAGGCAAAAGTTCTTTATTCACCTGCTGTCCTGCAGTTCATGGGTGTGCAAAGAGTCAGACACAACTTAGCTACAAAACAACATCAAAATGCATACATGGTCTCACTTTTATTAAGATGGAATGCTATTTATAAAAGGTTACCTTATAATTTCAAATGATACTGACTTTCTTGTTTGTTTTGAATGGACTTTATTTTTAGAACAATTTTAGATTTGTACAAAAATTAAACAGAATTTAATTTTACTCATATACCCACTCTCATAGTTTCCCTTTTTACTGACATCTTACATTTGTATTACTTTTGTTGTAATCAATGAACCAACATGGATAAATTATTAACCATAGTACATAGTTTATTTGAGCTTCCCAGGTGGCGCTAATGGTAAAGAACCCACCTGCCGGGGCAGAGTAGATGAAAGAGACGTGGATTCAATCTTTGGGTCGGGAAGATCCCATGAGGAGGGCATGCAACCCACTCCAATATTTTTACCTGGAGAATCCTAGGGACAGAGGAGCTTGGCGGGCTACAGTCCATAGGGTTGCAAAGAGTCGGACATGACTTAGCAACTAAACAACAACAACAGTTTATTCAGATTTCCTTAGTGTTTGCCTAATGTTTTCTGTCTCAGGATCCCATCCAGGATGTATTACATGTACTTGTCATGTATCCCTAGCCTCCCATTGGCTGTGACAGTTTGTCAGAGTCTCCTTGGTTTTGATGACCTTGACAGTTCTGAGGGAGTACTGGTCAAGTATTTTGATGTTTTACTTTTAACATGGCAAAAACAAAAACAAAAACAAAAAACATTCTAACAGATAATACTTGCTGAACATTTTTTCTGTGTGATATCTCTTAGTACTCACAGTACTTCCTGCCTGTGTAGCATTATATTGTCATGATTCTTCAGGTGGGGAAACTGAGGCTTTTTCTTTCTCATGAAACATTTAACAAAGCTGAGTTGGGATAGGAAGTTGAGGACAGAAATGTACAATTTTAAAACCAGTGAACAAACCTTTACTACCCATCACTGCTTTTCTGGGTGTTTCCAATTCTTCCCAATCCAGGAAGGCAACTGAACTTTTTCTGATAGATTCGCACTTTTAAAAGTTGGTAGGTTGTATGATGGCTGATCATTAGACATCTGCTTCTCGCTTCTCCAAACAGGTCATTCAAAGGCCACGTTGTAACAGAAGGTATTCTGCAAAGACCTGGGAAAGCTGTTACCATGTCAGATCCTAGGGCATCTGCAGAATTCTAGCCTCTCTCTGCAGGCTGAATCTGGGCTCAACACCCTTCTGTCCACCCTCTTACCCAGCATCACAGTCAACTCAAGGTTTGACCATTTTTTCATCAGCAAGCATATAATCATTCAATGGCCCAGCCCAAAGCAACCTCTCTGAAAAGATCTTATGAAATCATTTCTTTCTGCAAATCCATAAAAATCGCCTCGGATTCCTTATCAATAGGGAAGCTTAGAGGGAGAGCAGAAGTCATTGGATTATGATGTGCTCGTTTTAATGAAATTCCTCTCCTGCTGAGATGTTCCCTGCAGATTTTCCATATTTCAGCCTGGGAAAGGTTTGATGCTTTCCTGCCAGTGCCAAGAGTTAATTGAAAACATTTCAGCATAAATTCTACTCGGGGGCCAATGCTTCCAGTCCATCATTATTCCTAGCAATAATAGAGGAGTAATACAATTATTAATAAGCTTGCTGTATCCTCTTAAAATGGCATGGTTTAGGAATCGTGTCTTCAATATTCTTTCTAAAACTCCACAGAAAACCCTGAAATAAGAGGCTGGGAACTTAGAAGAAAAGCAAGCTCGGCTGCTAAATTATATGTAGTTTGGATCTTCCTGTTTGGAGTGGATGCCTGGTGGTAGATGGTTGCTGTTTTATTCTCAGAGTTCTATTTTCAAGTCTAGTATTGGGTTTTGTGCAATACATACTTATGGATATTAAAAGAAAATGCCTGTAAACATTGACAAAACAATTTATGCTCTTTGTAATTGTGTGAGATTTTGTGACAGTGCTGGTCTGGGCAACTTACATTTTGTTAATCTCTATCAGAATTGAATTAGATTTAAATCGAAAATACAGCCTGTTTTATTCTCTACCTGCTATTTGATGGTCTCCTAAACTTTATTGAATAACACGGAAAACTAATAGTTAGTAATTGTTGTGAACAGAAATTTTTATTTTCTTTACTTTTCCATATGGTTTGAAATGTTAATTCTTTTATTAACACCTTTCCATCTTGTTTGAAAAACCAATGGCCAAATCTTTTTTTTGAAACTTGATCTTTGTGGCCCTTGTAGAAATGTCAGGATAACTGAGCAAATTAGAAACACATCTCTGCCCTTGGTGTTGCCTGTTAAAAGGAGCTATTAACACCATCCAATCTTCAAATCTTTTCCTTCTTTAGTTAGGATTCACAGACAAAACGTCTATGAAAGAACTGGTAAATCACAGAGTATTAGCAGCACAATTTTTCAGAGTAATACTATAGCTTTAAATCTATAATAGGACATTGAATCAATCAATCATTGTGCCATCTTTTTGTTCTCAAAAAATGTATGAACTTTACACATATTCATAAATTTAAGAAATCTTTTAAAATATTCTCATGTAACCATTTTCTATGCAGGGAAAATTGAAACTCACCGTATAAGAGAGTGAGAGACAGGAGCTAGAATTCTTGTCTGCTCTTAGATATTCTTGTTTGCCTTCCCTTCTAGAGTATAAGCTTAGTGGAGGCAGGGACAGTTCAATCGCTGCTTTTTTCTCCTATGCCTAGAAGGGAGCCGAGTATTTATTGAATCAGTGAAATAATTTTCTGGCTCTTCTTGACTCTTGCCTTTACTTGGGGAAATAAACCCAATTAGAAGTAATTTTCTCCTTCATTAAATTATGATGGTGTGGTTTTTGTGGAGACGAGGTCTACAACAAGATCATTTTAACTAATGATGCATAATAAGTACTTTGGGGATATTCTCTTAGATGCTAGCTAGAAATGTTATTGCTTCTACAGTGAGAATTTTAGGACTCGCCATAAAACTACACCAAAAGATGCCTCTACCTCATTCAGTAGATTTTGCATGAAATCCTATCACTTCTTCAACTCATACTGATGTTCCTCAAAATATAATCAAGAGATGCCTGTCAAAAGCACAGACTGTCATTCTTCTGCCTTCTGTGATTCTGGTTGGGTCAGTATAAGAGTGAAGCCCAGGAATATGCACTTTGAACAAGTTCCCCCAGGTAATTGTTATACATGTAAAGGTTTGGGGAACACCAGACAAGTCTTGATACCCACTTATGTCAAAACTTTGGAAGGAGCTGCTGTTATGCCTAATGTATGCATAATGCATTATATGATATGATATTTGTGTTAGAGGAAATAGACTTTCTCTAAAATGAAGCCTAACTAAAGAGTTTACCAACTGTACCAGGATTCTCAACAAAAGAAATAAAAAATGTAACCACAACCCTGTCGCCCCTCCAAATGCTTTTCCTTTCTTTTAAAATTTCAGTTTTATTAAGATATAATTGATAATTAAAATTATAAAGTATTGCAATGTTCATAGTGGTGATTTGATATACAGACACATTTTGAAAGAATTCCCTTCCCTCAGTTAATTAACATATCCACTACCTCATGGATATACCTTTATGTATACGTATATAAGAAAACATTGGAGTTCTATTCTTTTATCAAATTTCAATTATACCATAAAAGTGTTGTCAGTTCTAATCACCATTACATTAGATGCTCAGGCCTTATTCATCTCATAGCTGGAAGTTTGCATCTTCTTATTAAATTCTACTCCTTTTCAAATACCCTGTATTAGTTCGCTAGGACTATCATAACAAAGACCACAAAATAAGTGGCTTAAACAGCAAATTGTCTCAGGGTTCTGGAAGTTGGAAGGTGAAAGTCTGAGAAGGAAGAGTCTTCAGGCTTGTTCCTTCTCAGGGCTGTGAGGAAAAGTCTGTTCCATGCCTCTCCCCTGACTTCTGGTTGTTTGCTGGCAATCTTCAATTTCCTTAGCTTATGGTAGCATGACTTCAATCTCTGGCTTCAACGTCCCATGCTCTCCCTGTATTTGTGTGCCTGTATCTAAATTTCCCATTTCTATAAGGACACCAGGTATGTCAGTCCATTCCAGTATGATCTCATTTTAATGTCACTACATCTGCAACAACATTTTTTTAGCATTATTTCTAAATAAGCTTTACATCCTGAGGTACTTGGAGTTAGGATTTCAACATATGAATTTACGAAAAAGCAATTCAACCATAACACCTCCTATCCTGGACAAGTAAGCCCCAGGAACACTTAAACTTAGGGCGGGGGGGCCATCTCAGGCCAGGCCAGCTTGTCACCTTCCGCAGCCTGGATGCACAGAAGTGTCCCTGCAATGGGAACCATATCAAGAGTGGGGCGGACTGTCCAACAGCATCACAGACTGAATAGGTGGGTAAGAGCCATCACTGGCGAGTGGAGTCAATGGAAGAGGAATTAGGGAGAGCAGAGAAGCAAAGGCTGAACCAGAGGAGCTAAGGAGGAGGTCGGAGAAATTGCTACTACCAGTGACATCTCCGAATTTCTGGATCTAGAACTTTAGGGGTGCCAATGATGAGGGAGATGGGGAAATTTGCCTAGAAATTGTGGTGAATTAGCAAGCACATTTTCATTGTCA